TGTGTGTGTGTGTGTGTGTAATATATTCCATATTTATTGTGAAAGAGTGCTGAATATTGGAGATAGAGCATTGATGGATATAGGAATCAGTAATAAAGATGATCTGTGATGTTCCCAGTATGTACTGGACTTGTATCAGATGATACCAAAATAGACTGTGTCACACCAAAGAAGCAAGGTGCATCAGTGGATTAGCCTGAAAAGTAACCTAAACACCAAGTGTAGATTTATACCTCACAAAATGTCAGTATCTGCACCCAGAGGTCAACCCAACTGCACTTAGAATGTGTACAAGTGGGACACTTGAGAATGAAAAGACAGAAAGTTTCTCACATACTTGCAAGAAGAATTCTGTGGCGGACATGAGACAGAACCTGGGACGAGCACAACTGGTCGTGACTTGCCTTGTCCTCGCCAAAAAAGAGCCCGTATTTGCTTAGCATGTAAAGCTACTGCAGTTGAAATGAGGGAGAGAAAAAAAAAGCACTTACCGCTCTGCCGTAATCCATCCTTGGCCAGATAACGTAAAAGAATAAGGGGGGACTGGCATCGCATTTTTATGCAATAACGATGCAATGCATTATGGGACATGGACGCAATGAATTATGGGATCACGTGAAGACACAAGGGATTATGGGTATATGAACAACTATAAAAGCAACTACTTTTTTCCGAGTCGGGGAGTTCTTTGAGGGACATTCACGGTTGACGGCAAGAATGGGCAGTTAGTGTGATTTGGAGACGGAACTCAAGAAGGAACAACTCAAGGTTGAAATACCAGCTGGGAGAGCTTGAATTTACTCGCTGGTTACTGTTTTCTTCATTCACCTCAAATTCACATTCAAACAAAACCCTGAAAGTCCCCCCCCCATGATATTAACTGACAAAATCCAGAGGTAAATAATTTTATGTATGAAAGTTTTTGTGTCTAGTATTATTATCACCTTGACTAAACACTTAAAAGTTACAAAGTAGATCCAGTATTTTGTTTCTAAATAAAGGCCTTAGAGATAAGTGTCAGAATTTTTTGTACAATTCTGAGCAAAGCAAAGAATTTTTTTATGCACATTCCTTACAAAGTAAAACTGTCCATGCTTCATATAACTGACATTCAGTTAACACACAAGAGATATGAGTTATTAGGTCAATATTTATTCACATCATCTGAGAAAAATGTAAATAAATACTGAAATATTATTACAAAAACTTGGATAATAAAACACATTTTTTGTTTTTCTTTTATTGCTATATTTTGGTGGATTAATTCTACAGCTTCCATCAGATGTCCAATACTCATGAAGGGACATCTCTTTTCTACAGAGTGCAGTGGAAATTGGAAATAATGTTCAGCTACTTGGATAGCTGGCCAATTCCTATTGTAGATGCCTGCTCAGGCATATTTGTGTTTGTTAAATATCTACAGAGTCTATCTGCAGTTTAAAATGCAAGTATGCTGAGTAGACTCTAATTACAGTTTGTGAGAGAGAGCATATAATCTAGCGTGATTAGTAATATGAACAATGCCAGTACGCTCAAACTCTCAGTCACAATGACTAGTGACTTTCTGCTAGCATAACCATTGACAACCTCCAAACAGTTCCTTCAACCCAATTTTGCTCACAAGGCTTGGGTCAAACAATGGTGTAGTTTTTGGGCACTTTCCAAATCTGATGGGAATTATCTCTCCAGGCCAATAATATCAAGAAGTTAGGTTCCTGATAAATCAACTATTGCAAGATTCAAAGCTGAGTCTCAGATATTCCAACCAGTTCAGCTCCTACCTAGCAATTCTACACAGACTGAAATATTAATCAAATCACCTAGGATTCTTGTCTGTTAAATGAAGATTGATTATTTTCAAGCAGCTTTTTTTCTCTTTAAATTACTTGAGGCAATGTTCTTATCAAATCATTTATTAGGACAAAAAAGTAATTTTCATTTATCAAAGCCTCATTTCCTAAATGATAGATGTTAATTCCCCTCTCCAAGTTCTCCACTGCCTTAACCTCAAGGACACATGGCACAGTGGATAAAGGTGTTGGTTAGATCCAGTGACAGGACCCAAACAGTGTGAGTTCAATACCCAGTTAAGGCAGTGGAGAACTTGGAGAGGGGAATTAACAAGAGATAACTGACATCCATTAAAAACATAGCACATGGAACTAGAACAGTCTACCCCAGTGAGTGAAAAAAGGTTCAGTTCAACATTCCAACCACCTGAAGAAGGAGTGTACAATGGCCAAAACATTGTAATAAATATGGCGACAAAGATGAGGACAATAGTCCGAATAATGTAAATAGTGTACATAATACCTCATCTCAGAAATATAGACAGATACTGAAGGGCCGAAACATTGTAATAAATATGGCGACAAAGATGACGACAATAGTCTGAATAATGTAAATAGTGTACATAATACCTCATCTCAGAAACAGACAGATAACAACATTCTTACAATCACATTGATGTCTGTTTAAAGCAGTAAAAGAAACTGATCAGCTTTTAAACAAAATTATTCTCAATAAATGGACTAAATATAAAATTTTTTTTTTATCATTTTGGGATAAAAGTATGGAAATCTTGTAATTTTTTGGTGCATGTTTTATGGTGAACAATCCTGGTCAGCTAACTCTCCTTTTCTCTTTCGTCACCACAATGGAGCATTCCTGTTCAGTCTACTTAACTCCTCATACTTTCTCTTATTACAGTGTGCACTCCTCTCCCTTTTTATCCTCTCCCTCATTAAGTGACCTTCATGTTCAGTTCACTCAACTCCTCACACCCTCCCTCATGACAATACACATTATGTGAATTATAAATAAGATTAACTATTATTATTGCCCTGTCAGTTGGGGCTTCAGAATATGCAAACTGTGCCCCTGCAGAGGGATAAGACCCCCCCTCCTTTCCTGAGTATGATAATAAACTACATCTGGCACCTCTAACCAGGAGGTTTTGAGGAGTGTGTTCCCAGGTCCACCCTGACTGGGGTGGTAGTACTTGTTACAGTCCCAGCCGTGGGCAAATAGTCAACCCCAAAAGCACTATGGAAGGATAAAAATACATGTTTGGAAAAAAAATATTAACTCAATTCATTTGACTTTCGACAAAAATCCTCTTTACAAAAGTATGTCAATGAAACCTGATCTACAAAGAATACATATTCTATCCATACAAACCTATCATAAAAATCTTATCAGCATTAAATAACCCATTGAGACTGATATGCCGTAAAAACAAAATAAACAAACTCTGATCAACAAAATGATTTCTTACAAAGAATACATATTCTATTCATACAAACCCATCCTTAAAATGTTGTTGGCATTAAATAACCCATTGAGGTTGATATACCATAAAACAAAATAAACTAAATCAAACCACTATTATTATTGTCACATTATCATCCCTGATAGGCCACTATAGCTGATGCAGACAGGTAACGGAAAACTACACTGTAATTAGCAATTAATAAAACTGGAGTTATTTCTCTTGGATATACAATGTATTTGTCAATCAATATTTGATTAATAATTATTTGAAAATTGATTACCTGATTGAAATGTAAATGGATTCAAACTTCATGTTAATTTAATAATGTTAAAATTCTCTAACAAAAATCATGCTACAATGTACCATTTTTGTTGTGTTATGCTAACAAACATATAGTTAAATTAAATTTAACATTATCCTGTCATTTCAAAAAGTGAAATTTCATTTCCAGTTTGCTTCTTTTTTTCTTTTTTTTTAGCAGAACAATTTTCCTTTGGCTGAAATTAGCAAAGAATGCTTGGTGTTTAAATCTACATTTCCTAATTGACATTTAAAGGGACCGAGTCTAGTTTCATAAAAACTAAAATTAAACAAACACAGACTGATAGAAGAATATATTCAACAGTATATAAAAAGAAAAGCAAATAAGAAAACAGAGCTCAAGTCTATCAAAACAGGAAATGGAGATTAGATGGGGAAAGACAAGAAGAAAAATGTTTATAAACAAAGCAGAAAGTCAGACTGTTTTGAAAAGAGGGATATGGAAGAGGGAGAGAGAAATAAGAAATATATGTTTGCTTTACTGATTGTCAGGTAAATGTTTTATGACAAGGATCACCCAATAAAGCTTTCTCCACCTTTTGGCAAGAGAAAGGTGTACATGTATTTTATATATTTTTGTGTGTAAGAACGCACACCAACCTTCCAATTTCCCCAGCAATAACTGAGGTGAAAGAAGTATGGCTTGTTCTTTTAACAAACACATAAATTTGACAAGCTACAAAGAAAACAAAATTTAAAACATTTAAGCAAAATAACATTAGTAATGACAAAAATTCACGGCATAAATTTTATACTGGGAACTAAATTAAAAAAATCGTGAAACATTGAAATAGAAGAATACCATTTGATGTAAAGTAGGTATGCCTCATTAACCCTGAAAAGAAATCATTATCTTTGTTTTGGATTTGTAAATTGTTGTATAAGTGAGTGACTGCTAAAACATCAATTTAAAAACTACAACAATATAACCCAGATAAAGACTTCCTTCCTATGTGATACATGCTTTTTTTTCCTTTCTTTTTTTAATCCATATCACCCCGTGCAAGCCACTACACAAGGGGTTAGTGGTGCATGGAAGAACTAGGAACAGAAAGATTAATAATGATCAGGAAGAAGGAAAGTGTAATTAGGAGGACAAAATGATTGACACTGCATTTACATTTTTGCATATTAAAGTTGGAAGGGAGTTCCACATTGAGAAGTGCTAGAAAAAAAACTTAGCATAGAATTTACAGCTACATCTAAACATGCTTGGATGATCATGTCTCTTTGATTCTTTTCACAGAAGAATTCCTGCAGTAGGTTGCCATTCTATTTAACCCATAGCTGGAGGAAAAAGAGTTGAATCCATACCATTCTCATAAGTGAATGTAATGAGCTTGACTGTAGCTCTCCAATTTCTCATTTCAAGCTGTTATCCATCACGCCACCCACACATCTAAGTTTACAGTACCTGGTATTCCCAAGTGGTCACTCATCTAGGTACTGACTCAGCTCAACATTGGTTAATTTTAGTGATCAAATAAGAACCAGAGTCTCAACTTGACATGGCCATAAGCTAGATTGTGAGTAAAAATTTGAATTAAATGCCATGAAATCTATATTTCAAATCTGATAATAAAATATGTGCCTTGAAACACAGTAGAATAATCTATTTTTAGACAATTACTTATAAAATTTGAGCAGATATTGGATTTAATCTGAGCTTAAAAGATCAAAATATATTTTTTATTGATAAGAGAATCCTCAGGTTTATAACACACTAAATTTAAACACAAAGTAATCCTATAATCAAATACAAATTCAAGAAAATCTGATAGTTCAATCACCAAAATGAGTCAAAGGACTTTAAAGTGACTAAATAAATTAAAGAGAAATTTTATTCTAATGAATAATTTTATACTTATAAAGATGATTTCAAATATAAGGACATCAGTACATGTCAAAGTATTACTGGTCTTATTTTGCAGAGATAAATACAGTGTGAAAATTTTATCTCTTAATCTGCAAATAGGATTGAACAATAAAACCTCATCCCTATGTTTTATCTTGCTTAGAAAGATATCTCTGTGTTAAGTGAATTATAATGATCCATCAATCTTAATTAAACCATATTTACAGATTTAAACATAAGATTTATTGAAGAAAAATGCTTCACCTCAAATTCTGATTCTTCCCATTTCTTGCTATTATAAACAAGAAATGTCCAGCTAACATGGATTCTTATTTTTCTATAAAGAATAACAAAACTTTCAATGATATCAATAGAAATATGAATACAAATGTCTAATGTTCTGTTTGGTGAATCAAATAAGGAGGCTTCTTCCTCACTGCGACATTTTCAAAACTCACCTCATCAGAAAACATACTACACAATTGTCCTCATTTCCCAATGACCTTGTGCCAAACTAAAGTATACCACAAAATGCTTTATTTTTACAATCTTCTGTTTTCTGAAATATCAAGCCATTTTGGAATAGAGATTTGGCAAATCGAAGAACATTGATTTCAGTCCAAGGACAACTATAAAAAAAAAAGAAAAAGTGCTTGATTCCCCAAAAATATAACGAATAGTATGTATGGATTTGAATATTCATAGATATTATTCATTATATTTTTTAATCATCTCACCCCAAGCAGGGCAATAAAGCCACCAAGGTGCAAGGGGGTTACTAAGTGTGAGAGAATATGAAAAAAAAAAAATTAGCTATGAAGGAGAGTGAACAATAAAAGAATGGGAATTAACGCAAGATTGATATTTACACTTTCGAAGATCAAAATAGACTGGAAAACAAGAAGCTTAAAGAAAAGAGTTCTGTAAGTGAGATGTGCAAGAAAGAAACTGTTAGCTTAGAAATTACAGTTACATCTTGCCATTTCAACTGTAAAATGACAAGACCTTGCCACCAATCTAGTCGTGCACTTAAATTCATAAAGTCTAAGTACCATGGAAGAAAGTTCATCAAAACAGTTACCATGAAAGTATTTATCGAAAAGACACAGGGAAGCTACATTGCAGTGGTGAGAAAGGGACAGAAGCTGAGATGCCTGGTATATCTAAATATCTATCAAATCATTGAGAAAATGATGTTTTGTTCAGTGTAAAATCTAACCCCATTAAACTTAAAAAAAAAAAAAAAAAAACAGCTTCAATCTAAATCCATTTTGGAATAGAGATTTGGCAAATCGAAGAACATTGATTTCAGTCCAAGGACAACCATAAAAAAAAGCTTGATTCACAAATTGATATCTGTCTATATCTCTTAGATGAAGTATTATGATTATTTATATTATTCAGACTGTTATCCTCATCTTCATTGCCATATTCACAATGTTTCAGCGATTGTACACTCTGGCCTTCTTCAGGTGATTGGAATTTTGAACCAAACCTTTTATTTCGTCCACCAGGATAGATTTTTCTAGTTCCACATGCCATGCCTCTTCCAGATGTCTCAGTTATTTCCCTTTAACTCAACTCTCCAAGTTTTTCGGTTCACCATTGCTGTAGCCTGGTACTGAACTCAACTCTTTGGATCTAGTCACTGGATCTAACCAACGCCTTTATTCACTGGGCCATGTGTCCTTGAGGATATGTGGAACTAGAAAAATCTATCCCAGTGGACGAAATAAAGGGTTTGGTTCAAAATTCCAAAATTTTGGGTTAAATGGTTCCCCATGATATGACTCTTTGACCCTTTTCAAAAAGGTGAATTTTGGAAAATAGTCACAAAATTTAAACATCAATATCTCAGTTGTTTTTTTTTTCACATACAAAGCTAAATTATATAACATTTTAAAGTACTTGGATAGATCTAAAACCTGACCTATTTATTTCTTTGTTTAAAGGTCAAATAAGATATGACCTTAACCTTTGACCTTTAATTTCTCAAAAAATGTGTCTTTAATTTTTTTTCAAAATTTGACAACAAATTTGCTTTATGGCAAGATATATAAAAAATTTTGTGGTGGACTTTTGACTGTGGTCTGAATTACATGGGTCTTAGTGATTTGGGCCAAATTCAAAATGGCAGATTTTGGTATTTGCCACTAGATGCTAACATTTTCATATCTCCCAATATAGTTAAGTTGTATATCTTCAGAAAGCTCTTTGAATGCTGATTAATATTCACATGTAAAATAGGTACCATTCAATTTCTATCATGAAGCTCTATAAGTGTACCAAATTTGAAAAAAAAAAAAAAAAATATCCATGTCAGTGATGGTCAGACCCTTGTTGATTTGGCACATTCCATAGTTTTATTTTCTGCATTTTCAATTACAAAAAAAAAAAAAAATAATATTGCATTTTTATTAAATAAGTATTTGTTAATTTCATCGTTAAATTGGTTTTAAAATAGTGGTAGTATTTTGTATATTAAATAATAAAACTTTTAATTCCCCCCCAAAAAAAAATGAATGAAAATTTATTATACTAAGCTATTTACTCTAGTAAAACTAATTGTACTTTGTACCCCCTTACCTGTTTGCACTTCTCCCTAAAATTTGATTTTGATCAGTCAATGTATGGCTATTTTAGAGGGTCAGATGGAGAGAATAACGGAAGTCACAGAATTTTATATACCGATTGCTGCTGTCCTTTTATTTTGTCTAATTTACAAAATTAGATTGTAGGGTTTTATGTATATTTTGGGTTTGTTACTATTGAGGAACTAAGTCATCTTCTGAGAGTCTCGCATCATCCTCTGCAGGAGACGATTGTATATCCACATTTGTCTGAATTCCTAATAACAAAGCTAAGATCCCTATTTTAATTTATTCAACTCAGATTATTTTTCCTTTGTGTACCTTGCTTATTTAGCAACCGAGATATAAGAATAAGCTGAAAATTCAATACTCAAAATCCAATCATTTCTAATTCTTTGTTAATTCTGCAAATTACAGAAAAGAAAACCTAGTCTCCCCAACCCCACATAAAATATTGTGAATGAACCTCATCAACCCAGTATTAAACAATAAACCAATGAACTTCTCTACTCTAATAATGGAGCTTTCACATAATTCCAAATGAATTTGCTTTTACAAGTTCCATTGTCTTTGATTCTAAAGATTTGGAATCAGGAAGAGACTTTGTATCGTTATTCTTTCAGGTTTTTATCATGAGAATTGGATGCTTTCAGGAAGAAAACTAATTTCAGATTGTGATATGAAAGCTGATTTCTGCTTTTTAAGAGAATGAGAACTGTAGACAGACAGACAGACACATCTAGACAACAATCACAGTTGCAGAGTTACACACATTTTGTATAGACAAAAGATTGTTACATGATTTGTACACATGCACAAACTTTATATATATATATAATATAAAGGGCATATTTAAGTAGCAGGTTTTCTTTCAAATATATTAAATATGATGGACCAAAATAGCTTGGTGACAGCAATCTTTTCTATTTATGTTTAGACAACTTTCTTGATTCTGGTAGAGACAATTAGTGAAAGTACACAAACAGTAGAACTGTTTTATTATTTTAACTTCATAGAGCTGTTTGAAGATATGAGAAGAGAACTGTATCATCAAGATTTATCCCAGTACACTGTAATTTTTTTTATAGAATATGCATTCTTATTTTTAGGGGAGAGCATTGCCATACATACCCGATCAAAGCTTGAAATTTTTCCTTCCCTGACTACCATTATAGAAATGAGCAATGGGACAGTAAAGGATTGTTTCATGCTTTCTCTGACTCACAAACACAAAGATCATGAATCTTTTTCTTTTTTTTTTTTTTAGACAAAGTGTATTCACAATTTTGCATAAACACTCAGTAAAACTAGAATCTTTTTAGAGCCTTTGTTGGTGGGGTGCAGCAAATGCTGGACAATCTCCTCAAAGATGAAGAAAAGATTTGAAGCAACAGAAATGTGGTTCTACGGAAAGATGCTGAGGATATCCCAGGCTGAACACGTAAGCAACGATGAGGTTTTGGAGAAAATGGAAACAAAAAGGAAACTTATACAATACCAGGAAGAGGCAGTTGAAATTTCTAGGGTATGTAATGAGGAAGGAGGGCTTGGAAAATCTGATACTCACAGGACAGATTGAGGGAAATAGAGACAAAGGAAAGAAGCACATAACATACTTGATGAGCTTTAGCAAATGGATGGCAGAACAGGGTTTGTGAGAAATAAAAAAAAAGTCAAAACTTATTAAGAGCTACAAGGGACAGAAAGATGTGGAGGGCCAGGATCGCCTACATCCTGATGGGGCACCACAGATAAAAGAAGAAAGAAGTTGGAAGGGTGTTAGGAATAGAGTTAATGTCTGAAACACTACAAGAGTTATAATCCAATAGATGTTATTTGCAAAAGGTTATGTATGTAATTTGAATAAACTTATAATAGATATCAGAATGACTTGCATTTTTATAAACTGTTCAAACTTTTGTCCATGTAGACATTATGATGTCTCTTGTAAGCCATCATTTCTCTGTGAATACAGAAGATTGTAATTTTTTTAAAATCATTTCACACAAGGCAAGGCAATAAAACCATTAAGACAAAAGGCGTTATGGCGTGTGAAAAAATACAAAAAAAA